AGGGGGGGGGGGGGTGAACGGAAGGATGTAGGCATCTAAGAGTTCGAAATAGGATATCAGCTCTGATCGGCTCTCGAAGTACTAACGTTCATATCGACACATCCTTCCGCATACCAATCAGTACTTCCACTCACGCGAGTACTGATGGACAAGTGCTGCCATCCTGCGACAAACTTTTTAATTACAACTTCAACATCGTCAATAACGCCGTTGATTGGAGAGGTAAATAGTCTGATCATCCTGATAATTCGACGAAAGTCGAAGTGGGGGGGCTAACTTTGCGGAGCTATGGAATATGATATGCAAGTCTGCATGTCGCGGAAACCTGGAAAATGAATCTTATTAATTGAAATACTACATATAGATATTTATTCAACGTATCATAATCGCATCAAAAGTCTATATTCAGTCAATGCTAATGCCCTTAAGACGTACAGTGGTGACATCAAATCCAGTGTCCATTTATCTTTAGTGAAAGTTTCAAATTAAATAATTCTTGACATGTTTGAAGCATCTTTGTATAGATGGCAGCACATACGTTTTAGACGGTGCTACTCCCTATGAAGAAAGAAGCTAACTATTGTCCTAAAGTCTGTATTAAATTCACGTGATATTACAAAAACAGGTATACGACCATATTGAAAATATACTATATTTAGTTCACATATATGATATTTAGTGAGATGATACCTGTTGTAAGCATTACTCAAGCACACTCAAGCAGAAGGTTCTAGCAGACGATCATAGCTGTGAAACGTCAAGTAACATTTATTATCCGGTTTTAAAAAATAATGTGAAGTGTAACGAAGATGAATATATTCGTATTACATCGTAATCTTCGGAAACGGATCTGCCTATCGTTAACCATATTGTTACTAGTTATTCCAGCATCCGTATTGCCCTTGGATACTAGTAACGTGACGAATAGTTCTTTGAATCCAGCTGAAAATTCTCCCCAAAAGAGTTTAAATACTACTTTGAAAAATGTATCTGCTAATGCTGTTCCGGCCTCCGTAGATACCATTAAAACCGAAGACAAGCAAAAGGATTCAAATGTAACAGCCCTTAAGACCAAGGATGACTCGAATCAAGCAACCACTGCGAAACCACAGGGTTCACTTGCTGCTACAACAACTACACTGCATGATACTAGTAAAAAGATTATGACAGAGAAAAGTATACCAAATGAGGATCCATCAACCGAGAAAACTGGAAACTCTATAGACCCTTTGATCACTACTGCAAATAGTGATATAATTAATGCAACCAATATAAGTACCACAACTGTCGCTCCAGCTGAACCAGTATTACCTGATAAAGGTTCTGCAGAGGAAGAACACAACAGCTCAATGTCTATTTTCTTTGTATTGTGTGTACTGGCATTGGGGATATTATTAATTCATTTGATGCTACAAACCAACTTTCAATATCTACCCGAGTCTGTGGTCATTGTTTTCTTGGGTGGAGCTATTGGTATGGTGATAAATCTGATGTCTCATCAAAATATTGCAAACTGGAAAAAGGAGGAAGCATTTTCTCCCACAGCTTTTTTCCTGGTACTTCTACCACCAATCATATTTGAATCAGGATACAATTTACATAAGGGAAATTTCTTTCAAAATATTGGAAGTATTATGGTCTTTGCAATACTTGGTACTGCAATATCAGCTTTTGTTATCGGTGCTGGTATCTATCTCTTAGGCCTCGCACAAGTTGCCTACAAATTAAGCTTCGTTGAAAGCTTTGCATTTGGTTCACTAATTTCTGCAGTAGATCCAGTTGCAACTGTTGCCATTTTCCATGCTCTTGACGTTGATCCAGTACTCAATATGTTAGTTTTTGGAGAATCTATCTTAAACGATGCCATCTCTATTGTGCTGACCACTTCTGTCCTGGAGTCTAACAATGCAGCAACTACCAGCGAAGCTATTATATTGGGAATTAATCGATTTTGCCTAATGTTCTTTGCATCAGCCGGTATCGGTGTTGTCTTTGCTTTGATCAGTGCTCTTTTATTAAAGCATGTAGATCTCAGAAAGAATCCTTCTTTGGAGTTTGGAATTATGCTGGTCTTCACCTATGCCCCATATGTCCTAGCTGAAGGAATTCATTTGTCTGGTAAGAGAGAATTTAATATGTACAAATATCCCACTAATTTTTAAACAATTATTATTATTAAGGACTTGTATAATTTTTCAGGAATTATGGCCATATTATTTAATGGAATAGTCATGTCTCACTACACTCATTTCAACTTATCAACAGTAACACAAATAACGATGCAGCAAACAATGAGAACATTAGCCTTCATAGCAGAGACGTGCGTCTTCGCATACCTAGGCTTAGCACTCTTCAGTTTTAGACACAGGGTAATAAAATTTAATCATACGATGCTTAAAATAATGAATTCTTAAAAGATGATGTATGTGACAAAAATATGTTTGTTCGTCAGGTGGAACCTGCTCTAGTAATCTGGTCCATAATCCTGTGCCTAATCGGTAGAGCAGCGAATATTTTTCCATTGGCTCTTCTCGTGAACCGATTCCGTGAACATCAGATCACTAAGAAAATGATGTTCATAATGTGGTTTAGCGGTCTTCGAGGTGCCATATCCTATGCCCTGTCTCTTCACTTAGATTTCAGCGATGAGACCCGGCACGTGATTATCACAACGACCCTAATAATCGTCCTGTTCACCACCTTGATATTCGGTGGTTCAACGATGCCTCTTCTAAAATTCTTGCGGGCCGAGAAAAAGACGAAGAGTAGTCGTCGCAAGAAGCGGGACAAGGAAGTATCCCTTAGTAAAACTCGTGAATGGGTAGGTATTTCTTCCTTGTCAAACTATTTAATTATCTCTTCTGAAAATTAACAAATTATATCTTCTTCAGGGACAAACAATCGACTCCGAACATTTGTCAGAGTTGACAGAGGAGGAAATGGAAGTGTCCTTCTTACAGTCACGGATCCGTGGATTTGCCAGATGGGATCTAAAGTTCTTTATACCATTCTTCACAAGAAGATTTACGCAACAGGAACTAAAGGATTGTAAATCGCAAATGGCAGACTTGACGAATCAATGGTATCAAGCCATCAGGATTAGTCCAATAGAGTCTGACGATGAAGCAATGACTACGGCCTCCACAGCGCAGCTTAACGTGAACATGGAGACGCAAAGCGAGTCACATGGAAAATCGAAGAAAGGACGTCCTAGTCATGGGTCTATATTAAGCATTTAGTTTATTTTATGTCATCCGTCCTGAATGTCTGCTATGTAACTCGCTTATACTTGGAGGCCAGACAAGAGTTTCAATTTTCGTCCAGTCTTGTTCTACAAGAGCAACGTATCCTTTAGAAGAATAATGTCAGCTGAGCAAAAGTTTTTATTTTCTGGATTTTCCTCACTTTGTTAGACAATTTTCATTTTCTCCATAATAATAGTACTGACAGAAATCTTTTCTAGTACAATTACTTGAGCCTGGCTATCATATTATGTTCCCTATTTATTACTGGGAATATTTTTAACGAAACATGGGCGCTCTTCAGCGCATTCGAGTATTTAACATATTATCGAGAAACAGGCTTTAACGTGCAAGCACAATCCATACATTGTACATATATTTACCTTAATCTCTCACAACTGTCTTGTATTGGTTCCTCTTACATGTACTTGATACACACGTACCTGTTTACTTACTAGTTCGATTGCTTTACAATTTGTTTAATCGATAAACTATCAGATATATCTTACTGCTTCTGGTGATGGGTTTCGATAACAAATGATTAATCCAGAAACGCCAGCTTCTGTCTAGCAATCTAATAAAGCTAAATTCATTTACAGAATCTACGAGGATTGGTCTGATTAACATTGACGCAAATTCACAGCACTTGGCTCTAGGGGCAAACAATTACTCACGTCAATAGTTCTTCTTCTTCTTCTTCTACTCACAAATGATTTGTTCGCTTATCTCACCAGAGTCCTAATTTAGTTTTAAGTAAACAATTTATAACCATTTAGTGACTGTTTGTTGGGCAAGAACAGGCTATGATCGAGTCGTACAAATTTAACCTTTTTTTCTTTCAAAGTAGAAGCAAACGATTCCAAATTTTAACTCATTTAAGCAGCTTTGATACCAGTTCAATGTCCTGACCAGAGTAGGCAGGGTTAGGCTCGATAAAGAAAAGTATGATAGTCTCGCAATTCACGGAAGTCGATACGCTTGCGATTGCGTGTCGTTGTCCCTGAGCATTATCACTATTATCAGTGAGCCAGACTGTCAATGAAAGAAAAGTTAGAAAAATAAATAAATATACAGAAAGAGGATATCTCTTTATACCTCTTCAATTCCATTGTGTAATCGTTGTATGTACCTAGAGTCATATGTTAGCTCGAGTACTTATTAACATTTCCAGTATTCCTTTGCCTTAATTCATATTACTAATTTTTATGAAAGTCATTCGCTGTATTATACTTGATTACAATTCGTTTGCAAATTTATATACGAGAATTTTCTGAATAGAACATTATCGCACGTAACACAGAACGAATATGTGTTTATGGACAATAAAGGTGCTAGTTTTAATACGTATTATCTATCGTCTAACCATTCATTTAAAACCTCCATAAATATACCACTTATCGTTACTTTTTTATTACTAATATTATAGGAACGTAAAGCGCATTATTGCCTATACGCACAATTGATTATCTAACAAAATAAAGAAGATACGGATATTTGTTTTATTGCGAATTTATTTGATCTTACGTCCTCCAGGATGGGACTACATGGATTTCTCGCGTTAAACGTATTTTTCTACGAATTTCATTCTGGTCTGGATGTACGTATTTTCATTATGACGGCAGGGCACATACGGAGGCAGCATCTAAACATCAAATCCATTTATTCGTCCGACTTCCATTGTTTTCTGTTATTATCGTTATCTATGAATAATCATCTACGAATCTCTAACGTTTGCCTCGCAAGTCGATCGTGTCTGCTGTTTAGATACAGGTCGTCCCAAGCGCGTATGAACACTTTCCGGCATCCTGGCAAACGGCAAACGCGTCTAGATATTAAATGGGACACGGGCAATGGTAGGTAAAAAATACAATCCACAACGATGCTTAGTTGATGATGATAATGATGACAATGACGATGCTGTTTTGTATAGTACTGGCGATAGTTCTTGGTGCTGAACGAGATGCATTTGTTAATGTTTGGAAGTCTACAGAAAGGGAAAGAAAAAGAGATAGAGAGGGAGAGAGAGAGAGAGAGAAAGAGAGAGAGAGAGAGAGAGAGAGAGAGAGAGAGAGAGATCATATGAGACTGCGCAGTCGATAGTAATCGATAACTTATCACTCATTATGAAAGAATAGACACATCAGAGATTAATCGATATCTCGAACGAGTTTTTAGTCTTTAATGCCTGAGTACTGTGTAATAACGATATAATTTCTGTCACTCGTGAGAGAATTATTTGATAAGTAAAATAATGTCTAAAAGCTCCACGGAACAAGTATCGCCATCCTGACCAATTCCAATTGAAAATTCAATTATCATCTGTATCTCACAATGGTCCAGAGATAACGATTGAACCGACGACCAGTCTTTCTCTTGGAGTCGCTTATTGCGAAGAAAATAGAGAGAGAGAGAAATTCAGACAAGAGAGCGAGAGAGAGAGAGAGAGAGAGAGAAAGAAAGTGAGAGGCTACAAGGACTCTTTTTTAGTATTCGATTATTCGCACTTCCTTCGAATCAGCTAAGCATGCAGATTATATGTGTCTATATTCTACGACCCCTAGGGTCGTGTCTGAATGACCTTGGTCGAGTTTCCTTCCCCATTATCATATTATCATTTTATCAACACCTGCCCCTTTTGTGACTAAAGATCTTTCTCCGAGAAAGACCGCATATCCGGTACATATCACTTATACTCACACGTGTAATCATATCACTGAATATTTTCATTGAATTTCAGTACCCTAAATTCAACAGACATATCCAATCTCCATGACTCGAGATAACGTTCCCAGTGATTAAATAATCATTTCGTATTTTCTATGTCGTATCGAGTGCCTGCCCACGAACGAATAGTGCTTAACGGAAATTCTTCTTTATCTTCCTTCGTTTTTCGTGCACTCCTATCCATCTCGTATTTTTTTGTTCGGATCTGTTTCCTTTTTCTCCTCGCTTCCTTTTCTCTCTTATCAGGACATAGAACTATACACATTACCGTTATTATTTTCCTCCTAGCTATCCTAGGTCCTGTATTCAAATTTATCACTAACCTTCCCAGGTACCTCTAAGGCTCCATTTTTACCGTTTAAGTTTAAGCCTGAACTTGGCAAAGCTCATTCTCGATTGGCTTATGCCGTTCGAGGTGACCAATCGTAATCGTTCATTCGTTGCCTTTGACTAAACATTTGCTTGAACTTAAACCGTAAAACTAGATGTAAAGCATTATAATAAAGATATATATATATATATGCACTAAATGTTCATCTAAGCTAATTTTGACGTGCGGGTAAGGACAACGGATAAATTTGAATACAGGTCCAGATCTAAAGCAGCGATCAGACCTACTAGTTAATAACTATATAATTTATTATTATTAATTAGTGTGTTTATCGTAATGTGCGAACTATACGAGAGAAACTGATCACTGGAATCCAGTCGCGCTTTATTTCCCTCTTATCGTCGTTTATATTATTTTCACTCTTTTTTTTCTTTTTAGATAATCCATTCAAGTATCCTTGTTGGGCGCAGAGCTAGGAATGATCGTTTATCGGCACTCGAACGTTGTTGACACTAAAAAGGAAATATATTTAATTTATTTAATTTACCTCTGGAGTGCAGTGACCACATCTCAAAAAATAATATTGGCATTCGCTAAATTTATGTACTGTACAAAAATCGCAACGATTTCAACGTCGCCGAAGTTCATTTCATCGGAGTTGCTACTACAAACGTATCTAATTCAGTGGTATCGAGAGAGGGATGGGGGGGGGGGA